AGTCACTTGGTTTGTTTCCAATCTTTTGCTTTTTCAAAGTAATAACCTTGTATGTCTGTCATTTTGTATGCATACAGGTTTATATGTAGGACAAATTCCTAGGACTAGGATTGCTGGACCAATGGATAAAAGTATATTGTGGATGGATAATGCCAAATTACCTTTCAGAGACGGTGGCCCTGTGCACCCCATCAGGCATGTGTGACCGCCAAAGCCCCTGTCAGCTGTTTTATTCTATCTCCTTTCCAGTCTCAGGCTCAATGCAGAACTTTGAGGTAAGCTTTTCTCAAATGTAGGCTCCTACACTGGCCACAGCCAGCTCTGCCACATGAAAGAGAGCTCAAATGAGACAGAAACAGCCTCTGGGCAGGATTTCTATCCTGCACAGATATATCTTCCACATTCTAGGAAACCGTGAAGCTTCCAGAGCCACATTTCCCCAGAAACACATCCCCCTGCTGGTGTAGCCGAGCCCCACAACAAGCTGTGCTTGCCTGGCACCTCAAAGCCAAGCACCATGGATGCCACTTGCCATGGGTGCCTACAATTTCAAATAATGAGAAATAAGAAATTTCAGCTTCTCAGTCCCTCTAGCCAACATTTCAGGTGCACGACAGCCTCAGGTGGCAAACAGCTACTCTCCCGGACAGGGCAGAAGATGGAACGCCCCATCCCTGGGGAAGATCACGAGGTCAGGAGATCGAGACCATCCTGGCTAACACGGTGAAACCCCGTCTTTACTAAAAAAATTAGCCGGGTGTGGTGGCGGGCGCCTGTAGTCCCAGCTACTCGGGAGGCTGAGGCAGAAGAATGGCGTGAACCTGGGAGGCGGGGGTTGCAGTAAGCCAAGATCGCACCACGGCACTCCAGCCTGGCGACAGAGTGAGACTCTGTCTCAAAAGAAAAAAGAAAAAGGAAGAAGAAGAAGAAGAAAGTGTGCCAAGAACTCCAAGAGCTCCAAAGGACCATACCTGTGGGACGGAATAACCCACAAAACCCGAAACAGGCCCTTGGACCCATTCTCATGAAAAAGATCATTGTACAAACATTTGCCTGCTGGGCTCTGCATGACTCTGCATTTCAGTAGAATCAGTTGGAGGTCCATTAACAGTGATTTTTTAAAAAGCCCTTAAATGATGGTCATCTTCTCTTCAGGTGGCTCCACACGCTGAGGTCCCACGTGCCTGAAGGTCTGGCCCCCCCGTTACATGGCTGTGCACCTCCTGGGGGCACTTGGGGCTGCGTTTGCTTTCTTCCTGATGTTTTCTGTTAAAAACAAGAACCTTACTTCCTCTGTTGCCTAAGCTCTGCCTCACAGGACTGGTTTTATGTTTTAATTGCCTGCCAGAGTTTGTGTTAAAAGAAGATGCAACAACTATATTTAAGAACATTTTGGGGAAAGAAAGGTAGCGTCCCTAATCCCTCTACCCTGAAATGACTCTTAGCTTTTCCACCTGGCCTATAGCAGCTTGGGAGGGGGGGGTCCTTTCCTTTTTTCCCTCAATAATATGCTAGAAATATTTCCCTCAGCAATACGCTAGAAATATGTCAGGATTGGTTTTCTTCGTTGCCTCATAACTAATGGAGCCTTCACAACTGTCAGTGACGGCCTAGTGCCCCATTCTGTGGTTGCCCCATCATGTACCACGTCAGTGGGTATCACAGCGTTTAAGGCTTTTCATCATGAGCTGATTTTGTTTTTAACGAGGGGTTAGTACTAGAACCTTCTATCTTGCTTGTCTGATGATTCCACAGAACACTCTGAATCCCAAATCAGGCTTTTGAAATTGGCATACTCAAATAAGTTGTGATGACCTCAGAAGGTTTATTTGACCTGATTTAACTGGTTCAACTCATATTAAGTCAGTTTTGGCTCCTATGTCTTAATGTTTGTGAAAAAGAAGTCCGAAGGTGGCTGATTCCAAAATGGAAAAAAAATATCAAGGTATATAGAAGGCTGGTAAGCAAGAGATTCTGGACAGCATCACTGGCCCCGGGGCTGTGAAGGTCATAGGGTTCAGTTTGGGCCAACACCAGGGCCAGGAGGCACTGTTGTTTGCCCAAGGGAAAAGGGGGCAGGGCTAGGGGTAGGAATCTGGAAGGCCCAGAGCCAGCATCACAGCATTCTTGTCTGAGCAGCCCTTGGAGGGCCCTGCTGCATTCCAGTGGGGGCCACCCAGCTCCTGAGAAGAAACCCAGCAGAGTACGCTCTTACCAGCCAGGTCCCTCCTGCCAATGGTCACAAGGCCCTCGAACAGTGCTTTGCTGGGGTTCTCACCAGCCGTGGAGACACCATGCAGCCAAATGAGCAGCATTCGGTGGCCGTGCTCCTGATAGCTCCTGGTGCCTGAGGACAGTGAGGGAGGAGAGAGGGAGAAAGAGCCAATGGGGCCACTTGACCAGAACGCCTGTCTATGCCACCCTGCACCGCCTCCTGAACATGCCCAGGTGGGAAAGAGGCCAAAAGCCTCCAAGGCCCTTCTCCATGCTCCAGCCAAGCTCAGCCTGGAGATGGGTAAGGGGAGTGGAGAAGCAGCCTCTCAGATGGAGGGGGAAGGGTTTGTGTCTTGGTCTCTAGAACCTCCCCAGCCCCAGGCCTTCTCCTGAACACCCACTATACACTCTGTTGGTGTCACTCTGAATGGAGAAAGAATTGACATTCATCGTTGTAGTACCATGATGCACAAACTGTACACTTCACCTCTCTGGCTGCTCAAAATAATCTGTGTCTTGCATGATAGTGGTCCTGATTTACAGATGAGAATACAGCTTAGTCAGAGACGGAGCTGGCCATGCTCTTTCCCCTGCATTGGTGGTTCTGAGACTCAGCTGCTCCTTGGAAACACCTAGGGCCCATGTCACCCCCAGAGATTCTCATGTACCTGGGTCTGGGTGCAGTCTAGGCATTTAATGGTTTTAAAGTTTCCTAGGTGGTTCCAACATACAACCATGTTTGGAAAATAATTGCCCACACGGCATGGGGTTAACATGCTATTTGGCTGGCTGTGATTCAGCTGGCTCTCCTGTGCTGGGGAAACAGATAGATGCTGGGCCACACCCATCAGGTCCAGGTCACTCCATTTGCCCCTCTGACCTTCCATATCCCTCTTGGGGCCCTCAGCAGGCATGTCCTCACGGTGCTGCCCTTGGTGTGGTGGCACTTCCGCTTGACCCAGCGGTCTCAACACCATTTGTTAAATATCTCTGCCCCCACCACTGTAATGTACAAGTGCTTCTTTATCATATATGAAAGTTCTTATCTGCAGCAGCGTTTACTTTGGAACTCTGCTCTATTCCACTGATCAATTTGCATATTTTTGTGTCAGGAATCTCTTTTTTTTTTTTCTTTGGGAGACAGAGTCTCACTCTATCCCTCAGGCTGGAGTATAGTGGTGTGATCTCAGCTCACTGCAAACTCTGCCTCCCAGGTTCAAGCGATTCTCACACCTCAGCCTCTCGAGTAGCTGGGATTACAGGAGCCCACTACCATGCCCGGCTAATTTTTGTATTTTCAGTAGAGACGGGACTTCGCCATTTTGGCCAGGCTGGTCTCGAACTCCTAACTTTAGGTGATCCCCCACCTAGGCCTCCCAGAGTGCTGGGATTATAGGCGTGAGCCACCATGCCTGATCCAGGTATCTCTTTATGTAATTTTAATTTGGCTTTATAAAAGGCTGAGTCTGCTTGAGTTAGATCCCCTTTATTGTTTTCCCCCAGAATGTTCACTTTTACATCCCTGTTTATTCTTTCAAATTGTAGAATACTTCAAGTTTCAAAAACCTCCTATTTTGATTAAAATTAGATCCAATTTTTAATCTAATTGGGGAAAACTGATATCTGTATGATACTTTTTCTTGCCACAAATACAGAATGTCATTCCGTTTACACAAATCATCTTTTAGAGTTGAACCATTATTGTTTTATTCATATGTGTCATCTGTATTTGTCTTTTAGGTTTTCCAGATGAAACGCACACACCATTGTAAATGGAGTCTCTTTTAAAAGATTCTCTATATATAATTTTTGCCCATTTAACAATGGTTCATAGGGGTTCTGTGGTGTTAGTATATTTTCTATATTTAGCCATTTCCTTGAATTATTTGATTAATTCTAAGATTTTTTTTAGTTGATTCCTCTGGGCGTCCTATGTATATTAAATATTCCATCTGAAATTAATAAGTCTCTCTCTTCCTTTACCATATTTACACTCCTTATTTCTATTTCCTTTTCATACCTTAGTGCCAGGGCCAAAATTTCCATATAGATGTTGAATAATAGTGACAACAGCAGGCCCTCTTCTTTTTACCAAGAATGGTTTTAGTTTAGGTGTAAACAGTGGGTATCGGTTTGGGCTGATTGGTGAAGAATGTGAAATTCACAATCAATGGGGAGGGAGAGGCAGAGTGTGTACCCTGTGCGGAGAACTGGAGGAGGGACAGAGCACCAGGTGTGTTGGGACCAGGCTGTGGGTTGCACAGGCTCTTTCCCCTGAAGCCCAGAAAACTGAACACATTTCAGGTGCCCCACCCCTCCGCCCACTGATTGCTTGGAGGGAGGAGAGGCAAGGTGCTACCTGTCCACTGTTGCTCGATGGCGTAGACATGCGCCTCCGTGAAATCCCAGGAATATGCCAGCTTCTTCCACTCACGGGGCTGCAGATGCCTGGAGGCCAGCCGCCACAACACAGAACGGAGCTGCTGTGTTTCCTGCCGATGGTCCTGCTTAAAGGACAAGCTCTTCCCAGAGGGGTCACTGAGGTCCCTGCATGAAAGGTGGTCCTGTGGGGCAGATTCCAAAAGTGCAGAAGCTCTCCCTCATGATCCCAGACAGGGACAATGCCGAGCCAAGGCCCCTATGACCCTCCTACCACCTCTGCTGGGGAGCCTGGGAGCTGGAGTCAGCAAGGCCAGGGGCTTAACGTCCTCTCTTCTGGTTTCTCACTCCATGCCTTGCGTTGACCTCTGGAACCCAAGTTGCTCCCACTGTTCTTCCACCCGGAATTCCTCTGCTCACCTTCCTGCCCCTCAACCTTATTGTCATAGTCAAAAGACCACCCATGTGCCACTTCCGGGGAGCCTTTCCAAATTTCTCCGGTCACCTGCTCTTTCCTGTGTTCTTAGAGCATGGGTGTCGGCAGAAGTACTCCGAAGCTTTGGCCAAAACCAGGCAGGGCAGGTATCAGATTTGCTGAATCACAATAGGCAGTAAAGGGTAGGATTACAAAATCCTTTCTAGCAAAGCAGGCAATGAAATTAGAGGTTACAAAAGAATTCTATCGTAGCATACATGAAGCCCACAGAAGCCTAAGGCCCTCTAAAGGGAATGGATGCAGAGTTCTGGTTGTTAAGTTCAGGGTGAAAAAAATCACCCTGGTGTCTGCAATTCCAAAGCTTACGTCATGGTCAACAGTCTCTGGCAATCACTGTGAGGTGAAGCTTGGTTCTCACCTGGGGTATTAAAAACTGGTCCCCTGGGGCAGTGTTTTCAGCCCTATCTGCACACTGAGACCATCTGGGAACTTTAAGAACCACTGATGTGTGGCCCCCACCTCAGAGATTCTACCTGCATTGGCCTGGGGGTCCAGGGGGGATTTGTGATTCTGACATGCAGCCACTGCCTTAGTGGTGAGGACCTGTAAAGCCTGAAGTGGCTTAGTACTCAGCACAGAGATGAATCAGTTAGTCCAACCCTCAGTATTCACATTTTGGGATTATATTTAGGAATAATCTGTTGTATGTAAAGGGGTCGTAATATTTAAGGGAATCTAGCATATCAGTGGGAGAACATCTTATGATTCCTACTGAAATTTATCTACCAATTGATTTTGAAACAGTGATTTTTATTTAAAAGGGATAACAGTTTACTAAGTTTGTAAACCACATTGGAATGTTTAAGATATTTGAGATTATTTCTAGTTTTAGTTAATGGTCTTATTAGGATAGTTTAAGAATTTAAGAAGCATGTGAAGTGCTTAAAAAGAAAATCTGTTATGTTAAGTTTATTTATTCAGTTTCAATGTTTAAGGTAGTTTGACTGAGTTTAAACACAGGACCCAATATTACTCAAAAGATTTCCCTGAAACTGACTGGAAAAATTTACTCGTTGTATAAATAGAATAATAAGATTTATCAAATGAATTTTAAAGTTTAAGGAAAAACTAGGTTTTTAAATGTGTAATTTAGCAGATTCAATACAGATGCCCCTCAACTTATGATGGGGTTATGTCTTGATAAAAATATCATAAATTGGCCAGGCGCAGTGGCTCACACCTGTAAGCCCAGCACTTTGGGAGGCTGAGGTGGGCGGATCACGAGGTCAGGAGATCGAGACCATCCTGGCCAACACAGTGAAACCCTGTCTCTACCAAAAATACCAAAAAAATTAGCCGGGCATGGTGGCACGTGCCTGCAGTCCCAGCTACTTGGGAGGCTGAGGCAGGAGAGTCACTTGAACCCAGGAGGCGGAGGTTACAGCGAGCAGAGATCGCACCACTGCACTCCAGCCTGGGTGACAGAGTGAGACTCTGTCTCAAAAAATAAATAAATAAATAAATAATAAAATATATATATATATATATATCTCATAAAAGTTGAAAATGCATTTAATCTACCTAACCTACAGACCATCGTAGTTTAGCTTAGCCTACCTTACATGTGCTCGGTACACTTACACGAGCTTATAGTGGAGCAAATCATCTAACACAAAGCCAATTTTGTAATAAAGTGTTGAATATCTCATGTCATTTATTGAATATTATATTGAAGTGAAAAACAGCATGGCTATACGGGTACTGAAAGTACGGTTTCTACTTAATGTGTATTGCTTTTGTGCCATCATAAAGTAGAAAAGTCATAAGCTGAACCATTGTAATTAGGGACCATCTGTATTAACTTTGAAAACTGAAGTAAATGCAAAATTATTTTCTGTATATAAAAACAACCCCCAAGGACACCAGAAAACTCCCTACCTCCATTTGCTAACTGGAATAGCAACATTCTGCCACTCCTCTGTCCCAAGTCCACAGGAGACATTGCTAATCAATCCCAGCACACTTACTTCTGGCTCAGAAAGTTGCCTGAGCATAACATCCCAAGCAGCAGTTCAATCACCTGGAGATGGCATGAGATGGAACCACCTGCCATCTCTTTTTCACACATGTCCATATGCATTCATGAATGCATGCATTCGTCAGCTGGACGCTACAGCAGTGTCCAGCAGTATCTCCATGCTGGCATGGACCTCAGTCTGCCTTGTTTCAGCATGTGTGGACACTTGCCCATCACCAGATCCTCACAAACAACTGTGGTAGCATACAAGGTGGTGATTATCACCCACTTGGAGCCTGAGGGACCCAGAATTGGTCAGGGCTGGAATTCAAAGCCAGCTCCATCTGGAGCCAAAATCACTCCCTTTCCAATAAGGAAAGATCAAGCGTGAGGCCTCCGTACCTTCTCCCATCTGTAGAAACGATCAGCTTTTATGATCATGTCCACCAGGCTGACATGGTTGCTGCGGGCGGCCACTGCCAGGGCGGTTTTTCCCTGCTGCAATTAAGAGGCAAGAAGAGAAGCCAGAGTTTCTACAGAAGGGATACAAAAGGGCCTCTAGCACTGAGCACAAACCCTTCTGCCCACAAGAAGTGCTTTCCAGCAGTCTACACTGAGAGCAGAAAGGTTTTCTGGTTTTCTGGGCATGATGGGGATATGGAAAAGTCACAGATAGAATAAAGCAATAGCAATAAATAATTCCAATGACCATCTCTTATGTTTCTTTAGAAATCAGGAAGCTTTAGAGCTTATGAAACTGAGCCCTCATTAACTCTTCAACATCCCCTGTGAAATAGGGGTTCCCACCCACTTTTCAGATGAAGAAACCAGAGCCCAGAGATGGTGGCTTGGTGGTTTTTTTTGTTTTGTTTTTTTGTTTTGTTTTGTTTTTTTGATACGGAGTCTTGCTGTGTCGCCTGGGCTGGAGTGCAGTGGCGCGATCTCGGCTCACGGCAAGCTCCACCTCCCGGGTTTACACCATTCTCCTGCCTCAGCCTCCCGAGTAGCTGGGACTACAGGCGCCCCACCACAGCCAGCTAATTTTTTTGTATTTTTAGTAGAGACAGGGTTTCACCGTGTTAGCCAGGATGGTCTCGATCTCCTGACATCATGATCCGCCCGCCTCCGCCTCCCAAAGTGCTGGGATTACAGGCGTGAGCCACCGCGCCCGGCCTGAGGGCTTGGGTTTATCATGTCACTTTTGCCCACCTCCCGTCGGGCCTCCTGTTCTCCAGGCCTCCCAGATGGTTACCTCCACAGACCTGCAGTGAGAAGGGAAGCTCCCCTTCCCATCTGGCCAGCTGCCCTGGTGCCTAGCTCAAAGCAGGGAGCCCCCTCCTAGGTCCAGCTTCAGGATCTGATCCTGGCCCCCAGCTCTACCCCACACCATCTCAGGCTGGCCTCGCCAAGTCACATGTGCAGGTGCCCCTCTCCCAATACACCTATGACCTCCCAGCCTCATACCAAATCTTCGGCTCTGCTGAGACAACTAGCACTTGCAGAAATAGCTGTCACAATGAGCTGGGAAGCTTCCCCAAAACCGGTCCCACATGTGGGGGTTGTTGGACAGTACTGTGGGCAGTACTTCTACTCCCCAACCCTACCAAGTGACTCAGGAGGTCACAGTCTGATGGGGGCCATAAAGGAGAAAGCAATCATTTCACAGGCCTATACCAGAGAGGGGTGGGCCAAGGCTGAGGGACCTTAGTAGAGAGAGGGGAAGGTGGTCAGGAAGGCTTCCTGGAGGAGGTTGCATTTGAGCTGGTATAGAAGGGATGGCAGTCCTTGAACACCCTGAGAGGGAGGAGGGAGGGGGCATTCGTAGCAGGGTCTCTGGCAAAGGGGGAGCCATGAAAGCCTGAGGCGAGGTGGGTTGTAAGCAGAGGTACCTTATCTCTCAGGTTTAAGTCAACCCCAGCAATGAGGAGCATCTCTGCTATGTCCTGCCAGGCGTGCTCTGCAGCCAGGTGAAGGGGCGTCTGCTGCCTCTAGGGGAGAAGCCAAGGGAACAGGTAAGTGAAAAGCACATGCGGTGGCCCGCCACCCTAAGTCAACCCCCACAATCATCCTAGTATATTTCTTCTAGTCTTTTCTTTAATGCAGAATGTTTTCAGTTTATTGGTTTTACATACATGAGATCATCCTATATGTACATTTTACATCTTTTTTTTACCCCAACATGACACTTTTTGTGTACTGTAAACTCTGATAAACACCATTTTTGATAACTCCATAATAGCCTATTTGTGTCTGTGCCATAATTTACCTAACCACTTCCCTATTATTAAATATTGAGGCCATTTTCAAAGTGAAGACTGATAAATAATACTGTAGTGAATATCTCTGTGCATGAGCTTTTAATATGTTTCTCAAGGCTCAGTTCCCAGCAGTGCTCATACATACCATTTAAAGGTATATGATATATTCTGCCAAACTGCTTTCGACTCCCAGTGGCTCTGTAAGCCATGCCCTTGCTGGTACTGAGAATTATGTGGTTGGTGAGTAGATTGTGGGGACAGGATTTAAAAGGGCTCTTTACTGATCACAGCTTCAGGACTCAGAGGCCTCTTTTTTTTTTTTTTTTTTGAGACGGAGTCTTGCCCTGTTGCCCAGGTTGGAGTGCAGTGGCTTTATCTCAGCTCACTGAAAGCTCCGCCTCCCGGGTTCACGCCATTCTCCTGCCTCAGCCTCCCAAGTAGCTGGGACTACAGGCGCCCAACACCATGCCCGGCTAATTTTTTGTATTTTTTTTTTTAGCAGAGACGGGGTTTCACCGTGTTAGCCAGGATGGTCTCGATCTCCTGACCTCGTGATCCGCCCGTCTTGGCCTCCCAAAGTGCTGGGATTACAGGCATGAGCCACCGCGCCCAGCCCAGAGGCCTCTTTTTACACAAGACTGCCTCAGTCACCCCTGCCCTGGGAATTTTCCCTAAGGAAAAAAAGCAATGAAAGGAAAAGGTTGAATGTAAAAAGATATTCACTGCAATGTTATAGATCATGGCCAAAACTTGGGAACACCCAAAATGTTCAAAAGAGGGGAATGATGAACAAAATGATATTCCCTTCAACAACTATTTAAATTACCTTTTAAAAGCTAAAAAAAAAAAAAAACAAAAAACAAAAAAAAAAGCAATTCCTCAACTCTGGGCCATGCTAGGAGACCACAGCCAAGCCTGCCAGCCTGGGAGGGTTTCCAGAAGCTCCCTGGGGCCCAGAAGGTCTCTGTAGCCACTTACATTGTCCATGGCATTCAAGTCACTGTCAGAGTTGATGAGGAGCTGGACCAAGGCAGGGAAGTTGTGCCTCACAGCGAGGTGCAGAGGAGAGGCACCCTGCTGTGGGAGGAGATACACGGATCAATCGACGAGTCCCTCCCAGGACTGCCCAGCTCCAGGCTGGTGCTGGGGACAGGAGGAGGGAAGGGTATAGTGCTTCTGGGTTTGGCCCTTTTAGCTTCTTGGCTGACATGGATGGCCTTAGGCAATTAAGGTCCCAAAGCTTGAATTCCTGGAGCTCCAAACTGATCCTCTAGATGGGTGAGAGTCTGAAGACCCAAGGGTGAGACCCTGCTATGTCAGGAACTCACTATGTGACCTCGGGCAAGTCATTTCCCTTCTCTGCTACTCTTCATCTGGCAAGTGAGGTTTGCCATGGTCCCTCCTAGCAACAATACCTGAAGATTCTCTGACATCTCATTTAATCCACACATCAACCTAGGAAGTATATAGGGATGGTGTTCTTATTAGTATCTTCATCTTACAAACAGAAACACTGAAGTTCAGAAAACTTAAGTCACTTACCCAAGGATACATAGCTAATAGGAACTATGTCTTACTGGACTTTCTACTCCCACTGCGTCCCCACCCCCAGTACCTAGGTACCTAGTACCTGATAACTATTGGTGTAGAAAATGAATGAATGAGAGAGCCAGCTGGGACCAGAAAAGATACCTCACTCCAAGTTCAACTCTCCTTCAACAGTGGAAGACACCATCCTCAATAGTCTCCTGTGGCCCCCTGAGTAAATGACAAAGAGGGGATACTCCCTCCTCTCTAGGTGATATAGTGACACACATACTGTGGAATAATACAAGGCCAATAAAATTGATATTAGAAACTAATACTTATTGTGGAAAACATCTTCATGTACTGAGCTATAAAAGGGTTACAGAACAGAATACACACACACATAAAACAAAAATGCCCATTATTGCCATTACTAATTTAGGCCAGTGGGTATGGAGTGTTATCAGTATTAGAAAAGAAGATTTGAACAAAAAATTATTTGAGACATGTAATTATGTATTTACACAGAGCTTGCACAGTTGCTCTGTCTTACCATGTGATGCCTCCCATCATGTCACAACACAGCAGGAAGCCCCTTACAAGAGGCTAGTACCATGTTCTAGGACTTCCCAGCCTCTAGAACCATGAGCTAAATAAATCTCTATTCTTTATAAGTCACCTAGTCTATGGTATTCAGTTATAGCAACACAAAATGGACTAGGACACCTTTCCCCGCCAAAAATCCTAGTAGAATAAAGTTATGTGGAAGACAAAAATACTCTTCAGTAGCATTCTTGTATTGAATGCTTACGAGAAATGATATATAATTTTAAAAAAGATATTCTAGTCACAATGACAGCCAAAAAATATAAACTAATTATGAAGGATATAATCAGAAATGAATAAGACAAAGGTAAACCAAAGCTATATAACATCACTTAGGGATATAAAAGAAGACATAAAGAAATGGCAAGGCCAGGTGTGGTAGCTCACACCCATAATCCCAGTACTTTGGGAGACTAAGGTGGGAGGACCACTTGAGCCCAGGAGTTCGAGATCAGCCTGGATAATATAGTGGGACCCTGTCTCTACAAGAAATTTAAAACAAAATTAGCTGAGCACACTGGTGCACACCTGTAGTCCCAGCTACCTGGGAGGCTGAGGCAGGAGGATTGCTTGAGCCCAAGAGGAAGAGGCTGCAGCGAGCCATGATCCTACCACTGCACTCCAACCTGGGCAACGGCGTGAGACCTTGTCTCTAAAAAATCTATCTATCTAGGCTGGGCGCATTGGCTCACGCCTGTATTCCCAGCACTTTGGGAGGCGGAGGCGGGCGGATCACGAGGTCAGGAGATCGAGACCGTCCTGGCTAACACGGTGAAACCCCGTCTCTACTTAAAAAAAAATTACAAAAAATTAGCCGGGATTGGTGGCGGGCGCCTATAGTCCCAGCTAGTCAGGAGGCTGAGGCAGGAAAATGGCATGAACCCGGGAGGCTGACCTTGCAATAATCTGAGATCACGCCACTGCACTCCAGCCTGGGCGACAGAGCGAGACTATGTCTAAAAAAAATATATCTATCTATCTATCTATCTATCTATCTATCTATCTATCTATCCATCCATCCATCCATCCATCCATCCATCTATCCATCCATCCATCCATCCATCCATCCATCCATCTATCCATCCATCCATCCATCCATCCATCCATCTATCCATCCATCCATCTATCTATCTATCTATCTATCTATCTATCTATCTATCTATCTATCTATCTATCTATCTATCATTCTATCCCCACCGTGCACGGTGGAGACCATCCTCTTACCTAAAGCTGTCTCCCATCTGTCAAATATTTTTGTCATAATTTGTTAATTTTAACCATTCTGAAAAGTAGTATATCATAATGTATTTCTCAAAATGTACTATATCTCAAAAAGTAGTATATCATAGTATATCATATTACACTTCCCTAATAGCTAATGCTGTTAAACATCTTTTCATGTGCTTATTTGCCATCTGTATATCCTCTTCAGTGAAATGTCTATTCATGTCTTTTGCCCATTTTTTTTTTTTACCTTGAGTTTTGAGAGTTCTTTATATACTCTACACACTAGCCTTTGTAAGACATGTGATTTGCAAATCTTCTCTCTTGGTCCGTAGCTTGTTTTTTCATCCTCTTAACAGATCCTTTGCAGAGCAAAATTTTTTTATTTTGATGAGGTCCAATTAATCAAATTTTTGCTCCTATGGATCATGTTTTTGGTGTCAAGTCTAAGAACTCTTTGGCCTAACCCTAGATCCAAAAATTTTCCTCCTTATATTTTTTCTAAAAGCTTTGTAGTGTTACATTTAAGTCTGTGATCCATTTTGAGTTAATTTTGTATAAGGTGTGAGGTTTTAGTTGAGGCTCATTTTTTGCCTGTGGATGTACAGTTGCTTCAGTACCATTTGTTGAAAAGGCTATCAAACCTTCCTCCACTGAATTGCTTTTGCATCTTCAATAAAAATCAGTTGGGCATATTTTCTTCTTTTTTTTTTTTTTGAGATGGAGTCTTGCTCTGTCACCCAGGCTGGAGTGCAGTGACATGATCTCGGCTCACTGCAAGCTCTGCCTCCCGGGTTCACGCCATTCTCCTGCCTCAGCCTACCGAGTATCTGGGACTACAGGCACCTGCCACCACACCTTTACTTTCCGGCACTACAAG